ATCTATAATTTAGCCATACCTATATCACAATCCTTTCATCTGTTATCTGATATGCAACAAGTTGCCAACCCCATTCTTGTAACTTGGGAACATATTATGGAACAAGATTTCAATATCCTGGTAAAAGAGGTTCAATCTCTTCAAAGAAATGTTTCCCGTGCGCTAGCCTGTATGCAGATGCACACCGTAAATATGCTCACAGCTACTAGCATCATTACACAAGCCATGGCAGGAAAAATCCCTTTAGAAATCAGAGAACTTCTTAAGAGAAATGTGACTCAAAGAGAGGCAGAGGTGTCAGACTGGTGGACTCTAGCCAACGCTTCATACCATCAGGACAGCCAAAACCTAGAATTAATTATAATTACGGCCAGTGCCAAAGAAACTTTTCCGGTATTTCCCGTGGTTCCTCTTGGTCTGCAGGCTGACACAGACACAGTTTTATATGCCAGAAACAGCCAGAGGTGGGCAAGAGTCACTTATACAGGATGGCAGACCATCAATACTGAAGGCTGCAGACATAGGGAAAATTTGGGATTTCTATGTGAGGACAGTGCGTTGGAAAAACACCACCCTTGCGTGGCCCCCCTTAAAGGAACAGAAGCCATTTGTAAATTTGATGCCGTCAAAGAAAACACGTCTGTGGTAGTCTATTTTGGCAGAACACGTGTCTGCATTAGAACCAGTTGCCCCTTTATTCATATTAATAAAGCTTACATGCAACCTATGCTACCCAAAATTAATAGATGTTTTTGTGATGTATCTACAATAGAAGGATATGATTTCAAGTTTGAAACCCCAGTTTGGGTTAGACATGAAATGCATCTCTCCCCTGAACTGTAAGACAACATTTCCCCAGTGCCATTGGGAATGGGATTAGAGGTCATAAAAGAGTTACTAAAACACCCTGATTTGCAGCACAAACTGCAACAATTAGAAAATGCGGGAGAACAGGCTGCCTTGCTTGTGAAACACAATGGAGCCCAAATTGCAGATCTCGCCATAGATATTAAAAATTCCTCAAAACATTTATTCTGGGAAACGTTTCTTGGCTGGTCTGAAAAAGGAACTGGAATATTTAATTTAATGCTTCATCCCATTGTAATCATAGTGGGAATTCAAATTATATGTGTAATTGCGCTAATAGGCTTAAGCCTATGGGTAAGATCTCAAACTAGAAAGATTCAAAACATGGTCACCCCATTGCACCATTCCGCTATTACCGCTATGCAGCAAAGAGGCCTGCCTATCTCTTAGAACATGTTCGTGTTCCCCATGCCCCTCCCTTTCTCCTTTTGTCTATCCCTTTATCTCCTTCTGTTCCATGTCTTATAGTCCAATGTGTTGTATTGTATATGTGTACTGGTGAACGTTTCCCTTGTATCTTGATTAACTCTAAACTTGACCCAGAGAGATGCGGTGGCTCAAGAGGTTAAGACACTGTGCTGCCAATGCAATAGATCGGCACAGCAGCGGTTTGAGACCCGGAGTGCCACGTTTTATTTTTTGTTAGAATTTGCCCCTTCCTTTTTTTTCTTTTCCAAAAGGGGGTTCCCTTTTAAAGATTTTCTTTTTAGACTTTTCCTTTTCTATTTTTATACCACAATAGGAGGGCTGAAGAGCCCTGAGGTAGTTTGGGAATCAAACTGGGAGCTTGGGACCTGACCTTACAGTGCCTCTGACAAACCAAGATCTTTTTGCGCAAAATGTTTGGATGAGGCGTAAGGTGCGGGCAGGTTACGGGTTCAATGCACAATCCCACCGAGACCAGGCGTGTAAGCCTTCCTCCCGACGGTGGAGGAAGAGTGCCTAGTCCAGCTAACCCTGCACCGGTAGGCCCGAAGGCCAGGAGCTTAAAATCGACCTTCTCCAAGTCCAAGTCCTCAGGTTTTTCTTTTGCCCTGCAGATCAGGGTGACGATCTCCTCTGGCATAAAAAGTCAGCCACTCAACCCTACCGGAGAAATAACGCATGAAACGCTATAACAATGTTTAAGGAAATATGCTGCATTTATTTTAAATTAATTTTTATATTAACAAACAACGCAAGTACCCTGCATGCCTTGGGAAAACTAATTTGCATGCGGAGAGACCCCCAGCCCCTAGTAAACACCCACTCCTTATAGGGATGGAACCTGGAAGAGTCCATTCATACATTGGACAAAAGGGGGGGAAGACTTCCCCCCCCTTTTCTCATTTTTCTCTATTCTTTAACTTGACAAAGTGGGGATCCCATTGATGGGGACCCCCTAGGATTAAAAGAGGTACGACAGTGATATCGTTCCCTCCGGAGCGCTATGGCCCCCGTTTAAAAATCAAGGCTGATGCAGACTGTACATCGAACCCATAGCTTGCACACACATTGAGTGTCACAGGCCCCGGGTTCGAGCTGCGGACTGCACCAGAGCCTTCCATCCCTCTCAACAGAAAGGGAAGCTGATAGAGATGCCTATCCAGAGGGAACCGAGTCATGGCCCTGATTCACTGTCCAGATTACAGGGACTCTTTTGACACTCAATACCCATGATGCTCTGGACTCAAAGGGGGGTGGTTATGCAGATTTTCCTTTCTCTCTCTCTCTCTCTCTCTCTCGGCTGGCAACTCCGAGCCATGCCGAAATTGATCGTAGATTTCCGTGACTAATCGTTTGCTCTCATTCAAGCCCGGAGCCGTCCAAAGAACCCTGAAAACACCAAAAAGCCTTAATCGCCCAGCTCCGCCCTCAAAACAAAGACGCCTTCCAGCAGGTCTCCCGCTTACCCCCGGAGCAATCCTAGATGGTGTCCTGAGAGAGAAGACAAAAGCTCATGCCTACAGAGACTGTTGTATATATTTTATATATATTCATTCAGTCTTATAATTGGCACTATACTTTTCTGGGCAATCTGGAAATCAGACTTTTCTGCGATTCGGGGCTTGTTTGAAAATGCGTTCAACTGCTTCCAGCAGCGCAAAGCCGAGGCTGCCCAGCAAGAACTGTGATGTTTTAATTTTTATATGCTTGTTATAGTTCTTCTCTCGTTCCAGATATACGAAGAACTTCATCCAAACTTAACTTGTTTTGTGTGTTCAAAATAAAAGTTACTGCATGTGTTTTACTATAATTATTGAATACAAGTTCTGTATATATTTTATATATTCAGTTAATAGCATGTTATATGTACAATAGAGAAAAGTAAAAGGCAAAAATCATTTTGAACTGTTATTGAGCTTGATTGCACAACAATGTTTTTATTGAATATATATTGCACCTTGATTTTAAAATTTCAAGTATTTACCTCTGGCTCATGCATAAGCCACTTCTAGCCAAAACCAATTTGGCTTAGGTTAGCTCTCCCCACACACATTATTCCCTGATAACGTAGTTAGGGAACCTGGGAATGGGGAAGGAGTTCCAGATGACATCACAACCTGACTGCTGATGCCCAGCTGCCGGTGCCTGACGACTACATCCGTTCCAGTCAACGATCCTGCTAACGTACATGTGTGGACCATATCTCCAGACGTCGATAGGTCCACAAAGGGGGGAATTGTTAGCCCAGACGCTTTATATTGGGCTATTCCTGGACTGTGGTACATGAATAAAACTTGATGCAAAGGGCTAATAAAAAGAGACTGTGTAATAAAGAGTTCACCGTGAGGGCACCCAGAGAAGAGGATGTCAGCTGAGGTTGATAATCT